CTTAAATAAATGTCATGCTGTACTCGGGAAACTTCAAAGGGCAGTCAGATTTCAAAGCATCTCTTAAGAAGAAGCAGACTGAGAAAACCGCTAAGTTGGGAAGAAAAACTTTGCATTATTGCTAGCATAATTTCATCTGGCACTCTGGTAGCCTCTGCAACAGGACTGAGCACCATGCATCTTTTATTCAGAGGGTGCATGTTGGTGCTGAATTCTTTCCCAAAATGTTCATGCAACCTATATGTTGTTGCATTCCAGAGTGCAAACATCCCTTTCATATTGTTTGGCAATGTATAATAGCCATTCTTTATGTTGTATATTGTTTAGTTTCAGCGTGCATCTAATAAGCCCTGTCCTTTTTGTCACTCAGTGTTCTCTGTAATGCAGCAAGAGGAAACAGACCATTTCAGTTCATGGCTGTGGGTTTGTTAATCAGAATTGCTCACACCAAGTGTTTCCTAGTTGTTTTGTTTTGTTTTCTTACCATTCAGGGTAACGCATAGCGGATTCTTCCTGCAGCTAAAAGATCCAGGAAGAAAGACCCTGTTTTCCCTTCCTTTCAAATAATAGTTACTAAAAGTAAGACTTGTATTCATAAAGCAGTATCTCTGAACATGCAAGCTGCAAGCTACATTCAGGTAATTTCATCTGTCCATTTAAATAAAACATAAAAAAAAAATGTATTTCTTTGGCATCACTGGAGAGAAATGCTCTCATGGGTACCCATTATAGAAGGGCTCAAAAGTGATATGCCTACATCATAGTGAGTCTAAAGAAGGCAGAGATGTCCCCTTGTTACACCTCAGATGAACCCAGGCAAGGTGCTCAGGTAAGAAACAGCACCCTTTCACTGCTCATTTCTTGCCTGTGCTGTTGCTTGATGCAGGTAGCCTGAGCAGTGAAAGGCTCCTGGATTGGCTGGGCCACGGTTTGACCACACATCAGTTGGTTACAGAGCTTAGCATGGCAGGTAAATTTGCCAACTATTTTCTGAAGAAAGAAGGTTGTGCTTGTGCAGGAAGAGGTATAGAAACACTCTGGAGAATGTAACCCCATGGGTTTGAAAGCTGCAGTTTTAAGGGTTCTGAAATTTCCATCCCTCTGAAAGAATACAGTGTTCCACAACAAATAAATGTTCTGTTATTTCTGGGGGAAAGGGAGCGGCTGGTTTCATAGTGCTCCTATAGACTTTAAAGTGTCAGGCAGCTTTTCTCTTCTTTACAATATTCCAGATTTGGTTTTCAAGCCAAGGGGTTTGCAAATGCAGATAGCGATGCTCACATCAGAACTGGAGGCTCAAAAGAGACCTTAGTGCTCTGCGGAGAGACAGTGCAGCTGTGACAAGCTCAGCAGTACTGCCTGAGATAGTCCCATACTCCTTCAGCCAAACTTACCATCCCTTTTGTGGACTTTTTTTCCTCTGTTAATTAACTGCCAGTTCTAACTCTACATTATTTTTTCATTTCCACCCTTTTCATCTTGTTCAGCTCAGAACTTGGACCAATCTTGGGCCAATGTTCTCGGATCTGGTACCTTTCCTTCAGGAAGTTGCACTGGCCATTTTCCTTTATTTTTTTCACTCTCTTCTTCCTCATTGCCCTCCCACCCCCTTCCCCACCCCCCCTCCCGCCCCCCGTACATTTCCACAGTGTTGTCCTTCTGTAGGACCCAGTGTTTCCAAACTTGTGGGCTTTCAGTGTTGCCTGTGATTGCACCATGCTCACTAGATAGCATGAACTTGCAGAACTGTCAGCCCTGGTACATGTATACATTGTGTTTATCACCCTGTGGCATCAATTCCCTCATTCATCTTCTTTGGCAGAACAGCTCCATCTTCTGTTCTGTTTTGTGCTCTGGAAGCACAGGCTAGAGAAGTTGTGCACAGAAACAGGTCTCTGCTGTCCCAGCTTCACATCTCTTCAGTCTGCCAGTTCTGAACCTGGTAGATGAGCACTCTGCTCTGGATTGCTGGTAATACAGTCTCAAGGCTTGCCTCTCCCATCGAAAGCAGTCCATGGCTCCATAAAGGTAAAACTTTCCGAATTATTTATTTATTTACAGCCAGCAGCATTCACCAAACTGCCTGCAATATCAGTGTCTTCCTTGCCCCGTTCTTGATATATAGGAACACCAGCAGCCGGTTTTCCCCTCAGGTCACTGACTCATCCTTTGCTGTTTGTTATCCTTTAGCTCTCCACAGTTTGCTCCTCCCTGCCTACTAGAGACAGCCCCCCTGCATTCTCCAGTCTTTCATTTGTCTTCGGCATTGTAGGCTTTACTGTTGCTCCAAAGGGCCACCATTTTATGTAATGTCTAAGCTTAACCACAGCTCTATTGGCATCAGGGTCTTTGATATCAAGCCGCCTCTCATAACCAATACTTGCCTTCAGTTCTCCCTCTAGATTCTTGGTGGTGACAGGGGTATAGCTAGGCTGCTCTGTTTTCTTTTCCCTGTTTTTCTGCCTAGTCAGGTACCATCTTGCAGTTTCCCCTCCTCACCCTGTCATGTTGTGCGTTTCCTCCTCCTCATTCATTTGGGGAATCTGTGTGGTTTTCTGCCTGTCTTGCTCCCCTTTCTCCCGGTGACAGGCTATCACCAGCAGTAGTATCTCTCCTGAGCTGGTCCTGCGGTATCAGCCAGCCCTGGGTGGATTAATGCGTGTTTCAGTGCAGGGAGGCAGAACAAGAATGAACAGTGAGCCACGGCTCTGCTGCCTCAGGTGCAAGGAACAAACATCCCTGTCTCCAAGGAGCTCTTGATGCCTGGCATGAGGGGTGTCATTTGTCTTTGACGGTACAATGGGTCTCCTTGCAGTCCAGGCCAATGAGTAGGGTATGTTATGAAACGGATGTGTGTGGCCTAACATATGGGTAACTCTAGCTGGCAAAATAACATTAAAATACTTTCCATTTGGAGATGGAATTTATAGTAGCCAGACAAGCTGTGGAACAAACATCTCTTGTGCTTCTGCTGCTGTGTTTGTGTGAGCCTGAAGGCTAACAAACAGTCAGGGAGCTCTGGCCCTCTCAGTCGGGTAGAATAATAGTTTCCACTAACGATGAAGTTTGAACTGGTGGAATTTTCACAACGCCAGAGGAGCACATCACAAAAATAAACCTTCTTTTCCTTGCACCCCTCCCTGTCTGTCCTTTAACCTGCACAAAGACTGCAAACCGCCGTGGCAGTAATCACAAAACCATCCCCTCTGAGAGCGAAAACTCTGGAAGATGCCCCTGGAATAGGGGCTGGGCTTTTAAAAATGATTGTCGTGAGCGTCCACATGTCTGTTCTTACGGACAGGCGTAGCAGAAGGCTTGGCTGATATGGGGGAAAATAGCACAACTGTTTCCAGTTAGTCCAAAAGGTATACAAAAGTGAAAATGAAGACTGAAGAATCTGTGTGTCCTGTTCATAGCAGCCTCGCTTACACGTCTGAAATCACAAGGTTGTTTTGGCTGGAAAACGTGGGTAGGGGTCTGGTTTAGGCAGCTTAGGATTTTCCTGATGTGTTTTCCCATGCCCAGGGGAGGGGTTTATGACATCTAATTATACATTTGAAATGATTGCTTTGGGGCAATGACCAACATTATCACTGGAGGCAAATATTTACAACGTAAGCTAAAAACCAGCACGAATATTCAGTCAGTGTGGCTCTGCGTTGCTATGAACTATTGTAAAACGCTGATGGATCTTGCAACAGTCCCTCACTAGGCTGTTAAATTGAGTCACAGCCCTTTGTGACTCTGTTTAGATCAATATCATTCAAACTACTTAAAAATATATACCTTTTTCTTAATTTGGTATCTTACTAAAAGTTTAAATCCCATTAAATGTCATGAATTTTAGCTGCAAGCTCAGGAGCATCAAAGACTTGCTGGCTGTATCCTCTTCATATTCTGACTTGGTGTAAACTATTCCTTTTTGTGCTAATCTTTTTTCTTTTTTTTTGATTAACCTGAGATGAACCATCTCAGGCTGCTCCAGCTCTCCTTTAGATGGAAGCGACAATACGCATCAAATGTCCCAGCTGATGTTATTGGCATTTTCTCCTCTCTCTTCTCTCCATTGAAAGGAGAACAGACAGAAAACGGAATCTCTGCTTGCTACCTGTATATTTGTATGACCCATCTCTGGGACAGGGCAGCAGGAGTGAAGCTGACTCAACTTTCACTGAGCAGATGATAACGATAGGTTCATGTCATACTCCCTAGATGATGCAGGAGCCCAATGTGCTGTCAGCCTTCTCAGATTCTTTCATTATCCCCAGAAATGGCATTATATTTCAGGGATACTTTGTGGTATATATCAATATGGAGTATTAAAAGACATTTCAGATCAAGCAGTGATCCCATGTGCAGGAAGCACTCACCAGTTTTGACTCCCATGAAGGCTTTCGTTATTATGAGGAAAAATGCAGTTTTAATCTATAGGGAGAGATTTTAATGAATTTCATGTGGTGACCTGCTAAAAACAAACTTTAAACCTCTGTTTAAAAATGAAACAGTTTAAGAACATTCTCTTGAATCTTACATTCATGCTCAGACTTGTAGAAGTGAAGAGGGTAAAGTGAGACTGAAAATAATCTGATGCCAAGAAGGTCAGCACTGAAAATAAGGAACTCATTTCAGTGCCTTGTCTTCTGAGCTATATAGATGTTTCTTTATATTGTCATAATACATATTCTTATAAACAAAACAACTTGCTAACTTTCTTTAGTCTCTTTCCTGTGGGTTTTGGTTGTTGCTTTATGTAGAGTACACTAATGGGAAAAATATGTTCAATAAAAAATGTGATAGATATTTCATATAAAAAACATCTGGACTGCCAAATATGTATCTATCTCCCTCACAGCAAAAGAAAGTTGTTAGTAACTGAGATCCAGACCACAAAGGCAGTAACTCCCAATTAAATCAATGCATCTTAAGTGTCTAAATGAGAATTTTAGTCTAGCAGCCCTAATCATTATGATTTCTAAATTGATAATAACTCTTTTCAACAGCCATTCAAGAAAAGCACTTTAAGAAGCAAGTTGGCCAAACGATAAAAGAAGACAATATATCTAACAAGACTGCTGTACAAGAAGGTGGACTTCTACTAGAAGTGAGTGGAAAAAAGTTGTCTTTTGTGGCTCTAGTTTATTCAGTTTGATGATATATTCAGTTTAATGCTTTGTGGCAACTTTGAACAAATGGTCAGCCTTGATGTGGGTCATTCAAGAGTCACACGAGTGCTCTCTGGCAGTTGTGATAGTCCTGGTCAGTCTCCATTTGGCAATTGTACATTGCACCCTTACACCCTTGAAATGACTCGTGAGCTCCAGCAGGCCAGTTTACAGTTCTTTTTCACTTGGGGTGATAACAGAGGTTTATTTTACTTGACAATGTTTGAGGGCACCAACAGAAGCTTTCCTTGTTTCTGATCTGAGTTGAGATTATTCTGGGATATTTTAATTAATCCTACTTCCTCAGCTCTCTGTTCCGAGGGAAGCTGTGTGTGCAGAACTTATTCCTTCTATGTGTTTTTACCCCTGGTTTTCTATTAACATTTTTCTTAGGGACTTTCTATTGGCAGAGCACAATAAAGGGGCCATATATTTACTGAGAATTGGATCCACTAATCTGGAGGAAGAATAAATACTGCTGTGAACTACTGAACCAGATAGATCACAGTAGTCTATCCCAGATAAATCTGCATTTCGAACACATGATGTAATAATGCCTTTTATACACTAAGGTCCATTGAAATTGCTTTGTGATTAAGACTACATATGTATAGTTGTTTGGGATAGGATAATATTAGTGGTATAAAAATTGTTCTGTAATAACAGCTCTGAGATATATATAAATGTAAATGAAATAGTAGCCTTTAGCAAATAAATGCTGTATACTATTAAAGAAAAAAGGCAATTCATAGTGGGATCCAGTATCACAAGTTGTTCATAAGTCATACGAAATGGAAACTGGCACCCTGCTTTCCTTCCTCATATTACTTTAGAAGATTTTAATTTAGTATTTCAAAGCAAGTAACACAGTCATCTGATTAGTTAGTGCTAGTACCAAAAAGAGATGTTTGGCTGTCAGGTATCATTTGCAATTACAGAATCATAGAATGGTTTGGATTGGAAGAGACCTTAAAGATCATTTTATTCCAACCCCCTTGCCACAGGCAGGGACACCTTTCGCTAGACCAGGTTGCTCAAAGCCCCATCCAGCCTAGCCTTGAGCACTGCCAAGGATGGGGCACCCACACTTCTCTGGGCAACCTGTGCCAGTGCCTCAGCACCCTCACAATCATTTCCATTCTCAGTGATTAAGGAGTACAGGATATACTATAAAGGATGTATATGTTGAGTGTGTAATTTTTCATGAGGGTCTCCTATCTTAGCCTATGTTTTTTTTGGGTGTATATACGCACAAGTCATAATCATTAAGGATCTTCAAACAGTAGCCTGCTGCTACTGGCACATGGAGAGAACACTGGTACATAATTTCAGGTAGATTGCAAGAGACTAATATTACTGAATATGGTAATGACCTACTTACCACAGTGTATATAGGAGTCACATTCCTTTTGAATCCTGGGCTGCACCAAGAGGAGCATGACCAGCAGGTCAAAGGAGGTGATCCTACCCCTCTACTCTGTTCTTGTGAGACCTCACTTGGAGTATTGTGTACAGTTCTGGTGTCCTCAACATAAAAAGGACATGGAACTGTTGGAACAAGTCCAGAGGAGGGCCATGAGGATGATCAGGGGACTGGAGCACCTCCTGTGCGAAGATAGGCTGAGAAAGTTGGGGCTGTTCAGCCTGGAGAAAAGAAGGCTGCGTGGATACCTCATAGCAGCCTTCCAGTATCTGCACGGGGCCTGTAGGGATGCTGGGGAGGGACTCTTCACTATGGACTGTAGTGACAGGACAAGGGGTAATGGGTTAAAACTTAAACAGGAGAAGTTTTGATTGGGTATAAGGAAGATGTTCTTTACTGTGAGCACGGTGAGGTACTGGAATGGGCCTGCTCAGGGAAGCTGTGAATGCTCCATCCCTGGCGGTGTTGAAGGCCAGGTTGGACAGAGCCTTGGGTGAGATGGTTTAGTGTGAGGTGTCCCTGCTCATGGCAGGGGGGTTGGAACTTAATGATCTTGAGGTCCTTTCCAACCCTAACTGTCCTATGATTCTATGAATATATGGGAGATATTTTATCCTGGATTATAGTTAATATGGATCATTAACGGGATGATTAAGAGCATGTTAATAAAAAGGTATTCACCAGGCTTCATTTATGGGCATGTCTGACCTAGAATAAGAGGGTGAGTTTTCCTTAGGGCCTGCCGGGAACATTCCCTGGGGCCTGAATTTGGCTCATATGCTCATTCAGTGGCTAAGGCATGTGAAGAAAAGTGCTTTTTTTCTGTTGTTCGACCAGATTCACCATGCTGGTTATCAGGGACTGTGAGGTTTAACTGAACAGTCGCATCTGTGATTCCCTTCAAAGAGAAGCAAACAGTGTTGCTGGTGGTTGCTGTACTTTACATATTGACTTGCAAATGTGGCCACTTTTCTGGTTCTCAAAAGGCATTTTTCTGCTGTCAAAAGGCACTTTCCTTCTTGTGACATTACCTCGCACTGTGCAACCTCTCCTAGATGCTTTACATAATACAAACCAGAATAATCTGAATCACCAAAATATGTATGAATAATACTGTCCTTGAACACAATGTTAATAGAAAACCAGGCATAATTGCTTTTGCCTTTTGCTTCTTTTTTTGCCTAGTGAGTATGATCACTCTGCTCTATGTATAGGTAGAAATACAGTACAACAAGAACCCTAATTTCTGGTAAATAACGTATCTGTGATTCTTGAGTCTTGGAACAATGCAGTACTTCCCCTTTCAGCTTGAAAGAAAACAATGGCATTAGTCTGTCTTCAAAGTATGTTTAAAATGTCTTTTATTTCTAAAGGCCTCTGCCACAACATGTGTTTTTTGTTGAAGATTTTATAGAGGTTTTTTACAGCTATAATCAAATAACTTTCATCAGCATTAACAGAATAAACAATGATACCAGGTTATCAAAGACTTTTTAGTGGAACACAGCAGGTACCTAAGCAAATAATTTCTTTCAGTTTTCTAAGATCACTTCTTCTGGACAGAAGACTCTTTCCTTGCCATCTTTGTTTCCCTTTAGAGGGAAGACAGTTTGATTTTGTTAATGGTCTTTCTGAGTATACCGCATTCTTGCAGTTTTTGTTCTCCTTGGAGATTTCAGACTCTGTTTGACTACAGTAATGACTTTTAACTTTGTGCTTTAAAGTATTTTCCAAGACAGGTGGCATTGCAACCCTTGCACCACATGCCTTCTGGCAGAAAAGGGCCACATTCAGTTTCTGAATCTTGTTACTAAATACTTAAGGAACACTGGGCCAAATGCATATCCAGAAAACTGGGAAAATAAATTGTATTGGCAGTCAATAGATCCAGAGAGAATTTACGGGGTGATGGGGTGGAGAAACACAATAAAACGGTGTCTTGGAAAAATAAGAATGAATCACTGGTGGGTATCTAGGCAATAGCCTCGATTACAATAATCATCTCATGGCTGTTAGCCACCTCCTACTCTTCCCCCCAGCTATGCTGCACTGATAGTCTCAAGTCCAGACTCAGAGTCTACACTGCTGCGCAGGTAGTTCCTCATCCCAAATGCATGTGTAATTTTCATGTGTTATATTATCCTATTGGAAGAATTAAATGTCTGTTTTTGAAAGGAAGGACCTATCTGAACTTGTTTTCTTAATGACACACAATGTCAGGCAGCGGCCCCATCATCACCACTGACCACTTCTTGTGTAATCATCACCCATATGCTAAGTGGCACCCTGCCAAAATTGTCACTTGGACTTTACTGACCACCTCACAGTTCTCCTGCAGGTATTTTTGCTCCTTGTGGAGGGCAATCAAATTTCTGTCTCAACCCTTGCTGCTAAGGAGATGTCTTGATGGGCTTCCTTTCCTTCTTCATTATGTCTGTTGGTCTTCTGTTCCACTCGTGTAGGTTGCAGCAGAAGATTTACGGTATCTCTGTCTCCAGATGTACTGGACATAATTCTTTTCAGGTGTGAAAACAGTGCTTTAAATCCAAAATGTCACAATATTTAAAGGAAAGCTGGATGATCCGTGCAGCTTCCAAACAGATGCTAATGGAGTGAGACTGCCTGGTTCTCTCATGCCCCATCTCACTGATGAATACTGATAAAGGCCAGACCTGGCCCGATTTATCATTTTCGTGCTTACCAGCAGCTCACATTCTTTCAGGAAAGGTCCATGTTGTTTTCAGGATGTTCCAAGGCACTCTTTTGCCCAGTTCACAGACAGATTTCCACATGCATACTCTACTCTTAAGGCTTCAGGGCACAAGAATCACATTTCTGTGGTTTTGTCTCATGCTTTTCTTTATGGCCTGCACTGGTGATGCCAGTCATTATACTGTCCTGGTGTTTCTTATTCAGTAACACTGTACGTTCTGTTTACTATCTTTATCTATGATCTAGACAAGGACATCGAGTGCACCCTCAGTAAGTTTGCAGATGACAGCAAATTGGGCAGGAGTGTCGATCTGCTTGAGGGTAGGAAGGCTGCACAGAGGCATCTGGACAGGCTTACAACTTGCTTGTTTAAACTTTTAGACAAAGAGTGTCAGATGCCTGGCATCCTAAAAAAAATCCTAAAATCAGACACGTATGGTCCTTTATTAAAAAAAACCCCACAAACCAACAAAACCCCAACCAAAACCAGAAAGCCAAACAAAAAAAAAAACCCAAACAAACCCAAAACCTTCTTCAAAATCATGTCTGTCTTCAGAAGTGGAGACAAACACTGAATGCTAGTTTTGGTGGTGAGGCCCTTATAATTCTCCACTTGTATGAATAATCTTAGTTTTATTACATAAACTACTTAATCATCTGAAGTGTTATTTTTCAAACTGAGCTTCCATGTTTTGTAGCCATGCTTTTGTTCTAGCACTTAACAGATGAATTTTGCCAGTTGAGTTTTAAGTAACATGACTAGTGAGGTAATTCAGGCATCTAGCTTCTGATCCAGTAGTATTT